TGTCTATTACTATAAAAACAAACTCAGTAACTCAGTGATGTATTTTTGATTTTGGCAGATAAGCTCCTCCCACATGTTCACTGGTAGTGAAGCTCCGCCCACTGCAACACATCAGTGAAGCTCCTCCCACTGCAAAATCATCAGAAGCTCCTCCCACAGTAATCACATCATCAGTGAAGCTCCTCCCACATTAATCACATCATCAGTGAAGCTCCTCCCCACTGCAACACATCATCAGTGAAGCTCCTCCCACAGTAGTTCAGCAATAAATGCTGGAATATCTCCATCAGTTCACAAGTGAAGACGAGCATCTAATCATCAGGAAGAGCTGAAATCTGCAAAGACTGAGTTTATTAAAGAGGACAGAGAGAAGATGAGAGATCCAGAACCCTGCAGAATCAAACACACTGAAGATACTGAAGAACTAACAGGTTGGTGTTTATTCTTGATTCTTCATTAATAATGCAGGAGGTTATAAAGCTTTAAGCAGATTTAGATTTGTTGTAATAGGGTACTTTTTCAGTAATATTTATGTTATTTATACACAATGATAATTGTGTAATTAATCAAACATATTTAATAGTTCTCCCTATAGAACCATGGCATTTGTGATTACAATATTTAAAAAAAATAATAATTTGAAGATCAATGTACCTCATTCATGGAAAGTTAATTACAGGGACTTATAATTTATAAAATTACATCAAAATTACCAAAATGTTGTATAACAATTGTCTACTTTACACCGTTACATCAAGGTTCATCAGGGTTACTGAGAGTTACTGAAAATTAACCATTTTTACTTTTATTTCAGAGTTGATTGAAGAAAACAAGGATAATCAAGAACTGAGTGAATATGAGGAGAAAAATAATGCCAAAAGCAGAGAAAAACCTTTGAGCTGCTCTCAAACCAAACAGAAAGATTTAAAGAAAAGAGCCAATAAATCTTTCACCTGCACTCAGTGTGGAAAGAGTTTGACAAACAAATAAAAATATGATGTTCACATGAGAGTTCATACTGGAGAGAAACCATCCTCTTGTGATCAGTGCGGGAAGAGCTTCACACAATCTGCAGACCTTAAGATACACATGAACATCCACACTGGAGAGAAACCTTACAAGTGTTCACACTGTGACAAGAGATTCAGTCAGTATTCAAATCTGAAAACACACGAGAGGATCCACACTGGAGAGAACCCGTTCACTTGTGATCAGTGCGGGAAGAGTTTCTCACAATCATCAAACTGCACTGCATGTGGGAAGTGTTTCAGTCATTCATCTTCTCTACACAGTCATACAAAAAACAATCACAGTAAGTAGATCATCTTCAGATCCAGCACTTTCAGATCTGATGTTGCGTCCTCACCAAATGCCAGATAATAATGTGTCAAGCAAAAACAATATCATCTGGATCAATCTGTCCTAACCAGACATTACAAGTGACATGACAAAGAAACATTATCTAAAGTTTTCACAGTGAATAAAGTTAATCTTCATCTTCAAAACCAGCAGATTCAACTGAGATTCAGATCAACTCACAGATGGAGTTCCTGCGCTTACTCTTTCATGAAGTAAAGTAGACGCTTTTACAAACTGTTCTTGTTCTTGTTCAACACTTTTAAGAGAGACTGAGATTTGTTATTCTTCCACTTAATATATATTTAGGAAATGCAGATGCAAGATATACTGTCATGTAGCTTTGCAACTGATCCTTCTGTGCTTCTCTTGTAATGAATACCTGAACCCAGTATTATACGACCTCTGGTGGCAAGTGGATGGAAATTCATGGATCGGATTCGTGACAGGTAAAATTGTCTGTAACTTATAGGCAGGTGTCTATAACTTTTTATATTTTTGAGCATTATAAACTCTGGATTATGGATAGTAAAATATAAATTGTCTTCTTTACAAAGATACCTAAATTGTGTGTGTAGCACACTGTTGTCAGGAACGGTTACCATTTTAAGTTAGGTAGGATCATCCGTGTTTACTGTTGTCTTTTTGCATTATTACACACCATTTTTCCTTTTTAATACTGTAAAGCTGCTTTGACACACACAAGCCAATTAAATAACCACACTTTGAAAGTCAAGTCACTTTTATCTATATAGTGCTTTTAACAATACAGATTGTGTGTTTTTTTTTTTTATTATTACTTTCACTTCTACTTAGAGTAATTATTTCTGGAAGTACTTGTACTTTTACTTAAGTTTCTGCTCACGTCTCCAAACACTGACAATCAGCACAATAAACAGACGAGTGTTTATGACTGAACTTCAGCATGTGAAGAAATCATTCTGATAAAGATTTGATCATGACAGACAATGGAGAAACTCAAACTCACCAACAAATAAAGAGCAATAAATAAAACAGTGTCTTGAGTCTTTTATTATAAATAGTTGTGTTCTCCGTTGTTCTTTCGTGTTTTAATGCAAGTTCAGATTGAATGCATTTTGTTAAAGTTTAATCTGAAGTAATCCTGATCATGTCATCTGACCTGTTTGAACACACCCAAAGGTGATCATAAACTCCACTCCCTTAAAACACTCACCAGGAAGAGATATTATTTCTTCTTTCTGTCATTCTTACTTCTGTATTTGCTAAAGAAAACAAAGAATCAGTGAAGAACAAATAGAAACACTTTAAGGATTTTTTGTTTGTTTGAACAAAAGGAAAGTTTGTTTGTGAACGGACAGCAGATCTTTGTGATACATTGTTTGAAACTGTAGTTCATAAAGTGAAAGTTTAGACTGCTGGAGCTCAAAGAGTGAAAATGGCTTCACTATCTGTAGAAGAGCTTTCTTGTCCCGTATGCTGTGACATCTACAAGAATCCCGTTTTTCTGTCGTGTAGTCACAGTGTCTGTAAAGAGTGCCTTCAACGGTTCTGGAGAAGCAAGAAAACTCAGGAGTGTCCCGTCTGCAGAAGAAGATCATCGAAAGAATATCCTCCTCCTAATCTTGTGTTAAAAAACTTGTGTGAGTCGTTCCTGAAGGAAAGAAAGGAGAGGCGTTCATCAGGATCTGAGGAGATCTGCAGTTTACACAGTGAGAAACTCAAACTCTTCTGTCTGGAGGACAAACAGCCGGTGTGTGTAGTGTGTATTAATTCACAGAAACACGTCAATCACACATTCAGACCCATCAGTGAAGTTATTCCTTCATATAAGGTGAGAAAAACGACTTTTAGCCAGCTTCATGCTGTTTTAAAAGTCCTGTTTAAGTGTTGATTTGATTGATCAGGTAAATGACGATCATCAATCTGCTTCTGGATGCGTTATATATCTGTATCTGAGTTTCTCTCAGATCTGAATGATGTGATTGTGTTGATGGAGACGATTGAAGTGAATGTGATTTGATTTTCAGTCTCAAGCTGATCACACGGAGCGTCAGATTAAACAGCAGTTTGAGAAGCTTCATCAGTTTCTCAGAGATGAAGAAACTGGAAATGATACAATATTGACAGATTTCAGCATTATGTGTGAAGAACCAGGGCCCGGTTGCATGAAAGCCCTCAAGCAAAGAAATCCCTTAGTTATAAGGTTAAGGGAAACCTTAGTGAAACTTGGGTTGCAAGAAAAATCCTAAGGGTCAACTTAAGGAACCTTAAGGCTGTCATTAAATATTCCCCTTAATTATTTAAGTGTTCCCTTAAGCGTTGCTACAAAGTCCTTAGTAACCATTTCACCTTAATAAATTTAAGGGACCAAAACAACTTCCTTAAGTCATCTTAAACAGTAAGAACATTATCTGCAGGATTTTTAAACTCAAATGTAAGACTTAAGATATTTTTTAAGACCTGCACAAATAAAATATCATATGAGCATAGTAAGGCAATGACTATGGTAACATATTAAACTGTAAAATGACTGTAAAAAGCATGACTTACAAGTTTTCACAAAAAAAAGTTTTATATAATTTTTTAAGATAATGGATGAGTTGTATCAATTATTATATTGATTTAAACAATTATTATTAATCAATTATTACATTAATTAAATATCAATATAAATAAAATATGTCTTAATTGTTTAGATTTGTATAATGCATCTTCTTGTCGATCCACCTGTTCACATTTACAACCAGATCATCTACTGCACCAAAATCAGCAGCTCACTTTTAGAAATAATCAATCCCAGAATTCAGTGCACTTGACTTTCATTTTCAGTCTCATGAAAGACACAGACGTGATTTCTGTAGTTTTTAAGACTCTTTATTTGATCAGACGGACAGAAATATTTCTAAACAAAAAGGTTTTTATTTCCCATATGATTACTGCTGTTTATATGCTACTTTAATTATTTATTAATATTTTGAATTAGGATATATATATATATATATAT